ATTTGATTTGTGTCTTTAATTTGTACTGGCAGACAATGAAATATTTACAAGGAACCCTACAGGCAATTAGATTAAAAGTGTGTGGTTACACACCACCTACCCATTGGTGGGCTCCTTTGGTCAGAAGTGAAGGCTGATTTGGTGAATGGTTGCAAAGTTTACAACGTCCGATTTTACTCACTATCAATAATTCAGAGCTGACAGAAGCAGAGAGGGGGAGGAAAGGAGGATGGGAGCGAAGAGGAAAGAAAGGAAGGAGAGGAGAAGGTGACAGTGGGAGGAAAGAATGACAAGAGGAGGTACGTGTTGAGACTGGTGGATGTGGATGACAGCAAAATACTGCACTTAAGTGTCCATTTGACAAATGTGGCAGAAATACACAGTGCGTTGGCCATGTGCTGCTTGTCACTGAAAGCTTTGCCGGACGTTTGAGCCCTGAGAGTAGCTCATCCTCTTAGTGCTGGAAGAAGTATTCAGATCTTCCTCATAAGTATCACAGTGTATAAATAGCCTACTTTGTTAAACTTAAAGGTCCAGTAAAACTTTATTTAAGTAAAAGTACAAGCGCATAACTATCAGAATATACTGTACTTAACATTCCCAAGTGCTCATTATTACTTATTGTTATACAATGGCCTGTTATAGTATATTGTATTTAGTTAGACTATTAGAGTATTATTTATTTTATTAAAAGGTAACACACAACACACACTAGATTTGTTTTTTCGTTTTTAGCTGTACACATAATTGCATGCTGTCATTTTTCCCAAAAACTTTATATTGTGTGTAAAAACAGTATTTTCAGTCCATATTGGTAACTGTTAGTTTGAATTTGGAAGTTCACTTCTGTCAAATCCTCTGGCCCCCTCCCTAAATGTTATGACAGAGACAGCACTCCAAGGTCTATTTCATCACACTGAAGAAGTGTAGGTGCCCTGTAATGTGTATACATAATTAATGTTGCTGCTGGTAAAGGTGAGGCTAATCTTAACTACTGTGTGTACTGCCAAAGTGGCTTTACACACAATAATACATTATAATTTATTAATTGATTATTTACAAATCTTTAACTGCAAAGTAACTAGTAACAAAAGCTATCATATAAATGCAGTGTGGTTAAAAGCACATTATTTCTGTTTTGATCTATAAAATAACAAATAAATACAGTTAAAGTATCTCAAAATTGTAGTACAGTACTTGAATAAAAGTAATTAGCTACTTTCCACTCAAGGAAAATGAGTTCCCACACTATGTAAATGGTTTCAGTGTAAGTAATGCCAGTTACACACACTCACATGAATACAGTTGTCTTTTTTTTTATTGAAACAAAGTAACACATTGACAAAACAGGACTGAACATCAAGACAAGACAACAGATACATGACATTACAAAAAGATATAGAGTGTTTTACAAGATTGTAGTGTGTGAGGGTGTGAAGTGTGGGTATTTCCAACCTATGCCGTCTATGAAACACAAAAAAAGGAAGAAGGAGGAAAGTATTTCCAACTTATGCCGTCTATGAAACACAAGAAAGGAAGAAGGAGGACAAAATACAGTTGTGTCTTGTTATACTTGTGACAACACCTACATTCCCTAACCTAACCTAATTAACCTTAGTCCTGTAAAACCCTGTCTTAACCCTCAAAAAGCCCTGTGAAGTCATGAGAAGTGGCTAAAAAAGGAAAAAGCATCTGTGACTTTAAATGACGGTTCATGTTTTTGAGCAGGTGGTTCAGCCATAAAGATCGCGCAACTGGGGAGTGTTTAGTGACCAAAGTAACATATTTAAATATACGTGAAAATCAGAAGTGTGTATGATTAAACACAGCGGTGAGATGGTCTGGTGCCTCGTTGATGTTGTTGGGTTGAGTGTTTTCCTGACATGGTTTGGATTCACGTGCACCCTCAGAGGGAAGGTCATTTCTGATGGGAGTGAGTGATTTCTTCCAGAACAACAGGGTTTAGACAAGGCTTTACTAAATGGTTTGATGTATGAAGATGATGTTGACTGACATGTTAGACCTGCTTTCCCCACCATAATCAAAAACATTTAATGAGGAAATACCTTCTGGAAAAATTGCATTTGTTTCTGTAGTATAATTCTAATACATTGCTGATCTACTGTATAACCACGAGTGCTGAAGATGTTCTGGATGCTCATGGGGCAACAACACCTTTAGAGCCCAACCACCTTTAATGCGACTGACTGTAGATGTCTCCACTGTTAATAGTTCAGTGTAAGCGTTTATCTAAAAGAAATACAAACCGCACATGCTGTATCAATATAGCAAGTTTCAAGCAATGTTAATAAACTGTTAGTCTGGTCACTTTCTCTTGCAAAAGTCCACTTCCCTTCCCCCTGACTGCTTCTTTCTCTCTAATCTCCTTTGCCTGTACTCTTTGTCCATCCTTTCATCCTCTGTCTCTCCTCCATCCCACCCCAGCTGGACTCCCTGTATTTAGTCTGTTCACTGTTGCTTTCTCAGAGAAGCATCCTGCCTGCCAGCATCCCAGTGGAGGCAGGTGATGTATATTTGATGAGCGGGTCCTGGGGACTCTCTGGAGGGCCATGGCTACAGCAGGACAATGGGCCTCACTCAGGTTTCCTGCTGGCCGTCACTGACACTGCTGTTATTTTTGTAGGCAAAGCCAGTGAGTCAGGGCTGGAGTTTCAGACAGGACAGCACACCAAGAGGCAGAGTTACAGCAGAGGCAAGGCCCAATACAGTGAAGCATATTTACAGGTTTTACTGCCAAGAAGATCATGAAGCAGTAGAATAAACAGCTGGGTTTAATCCCTTTTTTGTTTTTCCAATATATTAACACTTAGCTGTTTCCATATCTCTTCCCTTTTATCTCTCATCGCGATATATCTCCCCATTACCTCAGTGTTATATTGTCACCTTTACTCTTTGTTCTATTGTTTTATTGTCCTCCTTCACTGTTTTCAGTCTCATTTTTACCATATCTACTCATATTGTCACTTACAATAAATAAACATTTTTTCACTGACTTAAAGACAATTAAACCATTTTAGTAACTCAAACTTTTTTTCCTTTTTAATTAATAGTTTTGAATCAGATCATTTGATCCAACACATGACAAATATCACTTTACAAGGCTTGGAATGCGTAAAATGACATTCAGTCCTAACAACACCCCTTAACACAGAGTGCCCTTATAGTCCTTTAATTTTCAGAATTCATAATAATATCTTGAAGTTATCTACCTTGTCATTCTGTATCAATAGTAAACAGGGAAACAAAACTGTGACCCTTCTCTGCACAACATAGATGTTTTCTATGCAGATCAGTGAATTGATTGCATAATATTTTAGAAGAACTTTGTGTATCTTATTTTTACTTGTAATTGATATTTTACATTGTTCAGCCCTCATTCATTATTATATTATTCTTAATGCCCATGTAGCAACATAATCACATAAAGAGAGGGACTGTTTATCATGGAGGCCTCTAGCCTAGCTCAACAACCCCTCTGTCTGCTCTTTGACCCCTCTTTTTGGGGGAACCCCTTTTGGATGATTATCACAATAATTATTCCATCTTGCTACCTACTTGTCTGCCTGCTGGAAATTTTTTTTCTGACTGACAAGCTGATGCCCTGCTGACCTTACAGCTCATTTGTATTATATGTAAACATTTCATTGTCTACTGCTTGTTCTCTTTAGGTCCTGTTCAGGCCTATTTCTTCTTTACTTGTGAGAATTCAGTGTGTATGTGTGTGTGTCAAGGTCTTTTTTTTGTTTTTGTTTGGATGCCAATGAGTGTCCTCACAGCTATAGTAAGACACTACTGTGTGTGTGTGTGTGTGTGTGTGTGTGTGATAAGGGGCACCCTTACTGCAGCCACAAACTAAATGAAGCATGAGTAAATAATGTATTAATTGCAAAGAAAGTGAATGGGGTTCAGGCTCAGGAATTCCAATGTATATGCTATCAATTAATAATTGTAGCTGAATATCTTATGTGTGTATGTGTGTGTGCATGTGCATGAGCACACCCTGTAGAGACCAAAACCTATTTAGGCACATTGTCGGGATCGAATGCTAGTCCCCTCTACGTAAACCACTGAAGTTTAGGGTGACAGCTTATTGTCAAGGTGAGGTTTAGGTTTAGGGTTATGATAAAAGTTAGGTGTTAGGCAAATAGTGGTCATGGTGAGGACATTTTCTCATGTTCTCAGCCTTTCTCATAAACTTTCAAAGGGCTTCAAAGGGCTTTCAAACAGCCCTTTGAAAGTTTATGAGAAAGGCTGAGAAAATGAGAAAATGTCCTCACCATGACATTTTGGCCAGTCCACGCTTTCTCATAAACTTTCAAACTTGGATTAAAGGTCCAGATGTGTGAGGCAGGTTCATGCAAACGCATGTAGTTGATGCACTGTTTGATTTATTTATTTATTTATTTATTTATTTTTTGAATAAAGAATAAACCTGTTGTTTTTTATTAGATAAAGAATAAATCAAATCAAATCAAAATCAAATAAATCACAGTTACTGAATGTTTAATCTCGATATATGGAAATATGTTTCTTCTTGCAAGAGTTGATTTTGAGGTATTTCTGTGAATATTTTACAGTGTAGACAGCACCCTTCCTACTTTCCATCCAGCAGGCACATTTAGGGGCGTGGCTAAGGTGACCTCCACGTGATTGGTTGAGGCCTCCAGATGGAGGGAGGTAGAATCTACCAATGAGGAGCAGCCTGCGCGACAGTGGTCCAATATAGGCTGCTGGAGGCTAGGAGCATCTTTATTATAGAAGTCATTCACAAGCGAAAAGGAGTCAGGAGAACTGCAGGACCACAGGAGTTACCTCTCCTCTTTTTTCTGACTTTTAAGCGAACCTGCACTGCATCTACGAAGCCGATCATAAACGACTTTTCATCCAGTCTGTCTGCATCAAGCAGGGTTTTCCTCTCTGAGGCGTTTCTTTATAGAAAACCACCAAAACGGAGCCGACCGAGGAAGACGGACAACGACCCTCTCTCACTTCTGCAATCATGATGTCGATGAACAGCAAGCAGCCTTTCAGTATGCACCCCATCCTCCATGAACCCAAATATACTCCTCTGCACTCCAGCTCGGAGGCCATCCGCAGGGCCTGCCTGCCCACACCGTCGGTAAGTCCGAAATTCACTTTGCTACTGAAATCCTGCAGCCCCTGACATTTTCCAACAAAACTTCCAAAACCCTGAAAGTCTGAAAATTGACTGCAAAAGGAAATTAAATAGGACTTTTAACTTTTAGCTCATTTTATTACTATTATTATTATTAGTAGTAGTATTTGTCAATCTGATAAGTAAATTGTTAGATGTGGGCTTTACACTATTAGAGACACGCTCATTGCATGATTTTCAGATTAGTTTAAAGGATTTATAATAGGATAAGTTTATAGGACAACACATAACTGATTTTATCTAACCACAGAAGCCACAATTTCGAATAGAACATCGAGCAAACAGTTTAAGTCATTCCAGTTGTAGATAAAACAAGATGGGTCAGACGCCACTAGCAGTACAACGAGGGCAACACAGAAGACCAGATGATCTGGTTAGATGCTCGGTGCGTAAAGACGCACATACGTGGCTCTGAGGAGCCAAATTCTGAGCGCTGCTGCTGAAAAAGTGAGATAAAAGGCAAAGGAAGAGGAGAGGGCGGCGCGGAATCTCTACGCGCATGTTATCTCATATTGTCCCATTCATATTCAGACTCGCACTCGTCTCATTTCATTGTCAGTAGAAATTATTCAGGAGATCGTAAATATTAATTTTAAATGAACATCCATCCACGCTGACACACTTTCTAGGCGCTGGACAGATCGAGTAATGTCCAAGCTGCATTCGATTGCACTGTTTTACAAGTTTTAGCCAAAGATGAAGTTTATTTCAATTTTTGCATAGAGACAAATATTAACTGCGACCTGAGCATTTCAGCAGTAGATCTCAATTTGCATATTGGAACTATTGTGTATAGTTAAGATGTAACCTGCAAACACTTTCTCAGCTGCTTAAAATTCTAGTAACTGGCTGGCAGAGTAACTTCAACTAGAACCTTTTTAAAGTGTTGTAAAATAATGCTGTGTAATAATAAAACTTCTTTTGATATGTAACATGTGAAATATTTAAAACGTTTTGCGGTGAGTGGTTTGTTCGTTTGATTCTTGACCAGAAGTTTGTTTTTTGACTTTAATTTTTGCTACAGTTTCACCTGAAATTACAACATGAGTGTTCACTTTTTTCATCAATTCGAATGTGAATACCTCTGCAAGGAAATTGAAATAATCTATAGAAGCGATGTGGTTCGTGCGTAACATGAAGTCTGTGCACAATGAAGGCATAGTGCAAAAGATAAATTGGTAATTGTACTAATTCGATGAATTATGATGTCGTCAGATTCTCTCATCTAACCAGCCTGACTGTTTCTCTCGCAGCTTCAGGGCAACATCTTCGCCGGCTTTGATGAAACTCTGCTGCAGAGAGCTGAGGCTCTGGCCGCTGTGGACATCGTGGCCCAGAAGAGTCACCCCTTCAAGCCAGATGCGACCTACCACACCATGACCACCATGACCAGCATGACCTGTACCCCGACCTCCTCCTCCGCGCACCTGCACCACCCATCAGTGCTCACTTCCCACCATCACCCTGCGCATCACCAGCCTGCGCAGGGGCTGGAGGGCGACCTGCTGGACCACCTCACACCGGGCATTTCCTTGGGAGGCATGCCAGGCTCAGACGTCTGCTCCTCAGCCTCGCACAACGCCCACGCCGCCGTACACATGTCAGCCATCAATCACATGCAGCACCACCACCATCCTCAGTCCATGAACATGCATCCACACGGGCTGAGCTCTCACGGTTCCCTCGGGACCGCCGGTGGAGACGCAGAACCGGATCCCCGGGAGCTGGAGTCGTTCGCTGAAAGGTTCAAACAAAGGAGAATCAAACTCGGGGTGACTCAGGCAGACGTGGGCGCGGCCCTGGCCAACCTTAAGATCCCCGGGGTCGGATGTCTGAGCCAAAGTACCATCTGCAGGTTCGAGTCTCTGACGCTGTCACACAACAACATGGTGGCCCTGAAGCCGATCCTGGAGGCCTGGCTGGAGGAGGCGGAGCGGGCGCAGAGGGAGAAGATGTCCAAACCGGAGATCTTCAACGGGGGCGACAAAAAGAGGAAACGCACGTCTATCGCGGCCCCAGAGAAGCGCTCCCTGGAGGCTTATTTCGCCGTGCAGCCGAGGCCCTCCTCGGAGAAGATCGCCGCAATCGCCGAGAAACTGGACCTGAAAAAGAATGTGGTCCGAGTTTGGTTTTGCAATCAAAGGCAAAAGCAGAAACGAATGAAGTTTTCTGCGACGCACTGAGACCAGCAAGGAGAACCTGTGGGCCTCTGCCCCGTTTACAGAGACAAATCAGAGACACGCTGCTGCTGCTGCTGCTGGTGGTGGTGCACACTGTCAGAAGAACAAGGTACACCGTGGTGCCTTTTGTTACTGGGCTGGGCTTGTCTGACACACAGCCAGCGGCACTTAAAATATCAATTACAATTACAAGTCATTTAATATCTTAATGTAGAGGTTTTTTCTTTAAAGAAAAGTTTGAGAAAGTTGTGATTTTTGCTTTTTAGATTTTCTGAAATGAAGCTGCATCAAAATGCACAATGCTGCACCACCTCATTGGCTGAATTCGTTATTTATTGAAGAGTAATCATATTTTCTAACAAAATAAGGGACTAAATGTCTTTTTGAGATTCTTTACAGTGTTGTACACCTTGTATAGGAGCAGCAGCACACCAGCTGTGGGAAGGATTTCACAGAAAGTATACACAGGCAGCAACGTTTTGCTTTTGAAGCAGATACAAAGAAAAACGTGTCTCTGGAGTGTTTCAGCTGTAGTGTAAGGACAATAGGTTTGGATATCGGGCACCCAGTGACTAATCATCCACTTTGTATAAACAGGAAGTCTTTTTTGTTGTTGTTTTTGGAAGTTCAGTTTCACGAAATGACAAAAAAAAATAACTGGAATCAACAGTGTACCTTTTTCATTCTGACAGTGGAGGCGGAACACCGGGGACTGCATGAAAAAGACTGAGACACTGTCCAAAAACTTAAGACTCTCAAATCTTTATCCTTCCCCACAGAGTAGGCCGATGCTCTCAGAAATAGGGAAGAGTCTGATTAACATTTCGGGGAACAACGCTCCGTCCCACTTATTCACATGGCAATTATTGTACAAAGAATTAAGAATAATAACGACGAGAATCGAGGAATAACTGTTATTATCCTCCTTAGTCGGAATAGCTTTTTATATTTATCATTGTACATATTTGTGAATATGTTGCACCCCCGTGTGTGGAAAAGCTCACTGAAACTGAATTCTCGCTGTCTTTTCTCCCAGGTGTTTGTTTCTGTAGGGAATTGAATAGTTTTTAGGGACAGATCAAACCAAACGAGTACAAATCATCCTGTGGCTAATTTATGAGGCACAATAACTCCTGTAATCCGTTGCATGGTTTACTCGTCATAGGGAAATGGGTGGTTTCTGTGCGTTTATGGCTCCAAAAGTACGAAAACAACCCCCCCCACCCCTGAAGTGAATGCATTGCAATAAGAAGAAACACACACACGCACGAATACACACATTCACACGGTGTAGTTGTGTGTCTACCTCATTACGCAAGTGTTGACACGTTCATGGTGATTTAAAAACACACCGTAAATAAAAAATAAGGCGAGTATAGGCTCAGTTTTGTTTTTGTTTATGTGTTTCTCCCCCCGTTTTGTTTAATGGTGAATTAGGCCTAGAAAACTCACTGATGTGTGAAGTGTATGTTCAAGTTCACTGCAATGAAGCTTTGACAATCAAATTATTCTTATTATTATTATTAATGACACCTTTTTGGAGCGCACTTTGTAGATGATGAAGGGAAATAGTCGGCCTTATACATTTTTTTGGAGAAACGTTACGTTTTGTTGTATTTCTTTCCTTTCTATTGCCCTTATTTATTTAAACATAATTTATTTTGGAAAAGAAAAAAACATTTCATTTGTGAAAGTGTGCTTTACACGTGTCTGTGTAAGTGACAGAAGCTGAAATAAATCGTGCACGTTTTACTTCCTTCTCTGACAGCTTTTTTTTTAATGAAACTGAAGTAAACAGTTTTACTTTAGTAAACAGATTTCCATGCTAAAAGAATAATAAAAAATGTCCAAATGAATGAATACTTCAGCTTTTATTACCACTACACCACAGATCAAGCCTGTGTTTGCTGACAGAGGTGTTAATTGTCTTATTTTCAAAGATAGATTTAATGTAATATGAGCTCTGAGCAGCAGTCTGTCTGCGTCTCTGTCTCTTCTGTGTGCTTGCGCGTAAAGAGGAGAGCAGCTGCTGCTCTGAAACAGGAGAAGCCTGGAAGTGAAGGACGTGTGTCTGAAAGCTGCTTCCCAGCGGTGATGAATAGGATTTGATACTTGAGTGACTCTAATATTGATCAACTTTGCTGGTATGAGGACTAAACTGCTCTATCACATCAGGCAGGTCTCATGGCTCTAATATAGACTCTGCCAGGCAGAAAATACCCTGGAACCTCAGAGGGCGGAGCCAAACCAGATCGCTGCGTTTCAAAGGTTCGAAAGCCTGAAAAGCAAAAAGGAAAATTTGACCCTTGACCATTATTCAAACAACTTTAGAAAAAAATAAAGGTAATAAAAAGGTTCAATTGAGCTGACCAGGATATCTGTAAACTCTAATGACCACTATTAGGTAGACTGTACAGTTTCATAAGTGATAGCCTACTAATTTGTAACTGTTTAAAACCAAGGGGAAAGATTTAAAGACAAGAAGGAAGACACTGTCTGCATTTTACCAAATACAGAAATACCAGATGTGGTTAGAGGGACCAATCTTATTTTTCCCAGAAGAACAAAACATATTCAAGACTGTAGCCAATAATTTATAAATACCAAGGTCCCAGCCTCCCCTCACACCTTCCAAAAATGTTGATAATAAACCAGAATTGTATATAATCAGTCTATTCAGTTAACAATTCATTTTTACTTTGGGTAAACGAGACTTCCCAACACAAAGGTCTAAACTGTATTTCACACCCATCTCCACACTTCAAGAATAAAATTCTTGAAAGGGAAATGTTGATATTTTCATTTTTACGTATTCATGACCTAAAAGTGGTCAAATGTATACACGCAGAGTTTAAAGTTACATGACCCATCTTATAAAACACTAACATACTATAAAACACTAGTAAATTGAGAATGTAATCTCTCCCAGGGTTGGTAAAACTATGTATGGTGATAGCTACACACACACACACACACACTTAAATCCAGCTGGACATTTAGATGTTGGACCCTTAAATATTGCACTGGTGCAGTCAGATGCTCCATCAGATGCTAAATGTGCAAAATGCAAAGCTCATCTTGAATACAATTAAGAAATCAGTAGAGCAACAACAAACACCATATTTAATTGGAAAATGGGCTTTTTGACTGAACACTATACACTCCTTAACTCCTCTGAAGCTTCACCCTGATAGTGCAAGACGTAAAAGACCCCAGCAGATTAAAAAAAGATGTGTTGATAGAATGTTTTTCATGATACTCAGTGGAAAGTGCTCTATCATTTCAATATTTTGTATAAAATAAAAGCATATAGCACAGCTCTTCAGCAGGGGTAAGACCCAACATCTACATCAACTCTATTATTATGTAAACACAAAATGTATAATGTAATCACAATGTGGTCGCATATTTATCAGTAAACAGACAATTAGAATTATGAGTGCAAGTATAAATTTCTGCTTTATAAAGTCAACTTGTATATTTAAACCAGACAGCAGGTGGTTTTGGGTGGTTATTAATGAATAATAAATATCAGCTGCAATGATACTATTGATTTTTACATGTGTTTGTTAAGAAGTTGCTCTTCTTTGTCGTACAACAGCAGCTCAGGCCCTGATCCCCTCCCAGCAACTGAATACAGGCCTTTTAATGCAACGGGTCCCAACGTGGGCCTGGAGGCTATTGGGGGACGCTGACAGAGGACCCATTTATTCACCAGAGGGAAAACACTTTCTTTTATAACTTTGTAGTAGAAGTTTGTACCGGGACAGGATGTAAGTTTCATGTTTCCTCTCAACCATGAAAAGAAATCATAAAATGACATTTTGAAACTAATTGAAGGGAAACGGAGATGTATTCACATGACAGCACATAAAGAAACCAACCTAATATACAAATAAACTGACCTGAAGGAGAAAATAATGACAAAAGGCTGTAGTTTTCTTTTTCAAATTAAAATGAAAATTAATGATTAATATAATGATTTATTATATATATTTTTTCATTCATGTTCAGAGGGGGAAAATGACTTCTGAACTGTGCATTTGTCAATATCTACAGATAGTTTTTGCCCAACAGACTCTGGCTGGCATGACAAAGAGTGTAATACATGGCTTCATCAAAGATTAATTATTGAGTTCAAGCCTATAAATTATATATAATTGACCGTGTAATCAATGTGAACAGTGTATCAAGTTTTCTTGAGACAAAGTGAGGGAATGCAAATGCACAGGACAAAAATTATGGACAAGTAATAATATGATTGTAATATTTTTGAATGTTCCTATTTTTAAACATTTTTATTTATACATTCATTTAACACAAACTGAGCTGGTGTCATGAACAGTTTTCCAAAAGAAATGCATAATAATACCAAAATTCCATAATTGTGCAGAAATGTGTGATGCTTTTTAGAAGCCTGGCCGCAGCCTACACACAGTACAGCACCTGCACTGACTAATATTGGTTTAATAATTAAAAAGTACGAAAAACCCTGTCCCTGTGTTTTCCTCTATTGGCTGGTGTTTTCCATGTGATCTGTCCTTCTCCAGACTCCACCCTGACTGCTGTTGTTCTTGTGGATGAGCGGTTAACAGAGCTTTTCCCAGGACAGCCACAGTTAATTGTTTGATTTAAATAATTAAGAAACAGGAGGCCTCATTTTCCCTTGCTGTGTTTTCCAGTGTCAGATCCAAACAAGCAAACCAGACTGTACTTTTCCTTCAGCACAGACCAGAAGAAGAGTCATGTGCACGCACACACACACATTGTCTCTCTTGTTTTCTCATCCTCAGTCTTCAGTCAGTCAATGTGCTTGCATCCTGATGGCTACAGAGGGGAAATGGCGTGATGTACAGCCTCTTTGGTGCAGGCCCACAGTCAGCAAAGGACCAGATCATAAGTTAATGTACTTCAGTGTTTGTGTGACTCATCTCACATAGCAAAAAATAACATCTTTAAGGGAAGCACTTACTCTCTGTCAGTGGGAAATATGTAGACTGCTCAGTGCAAGAAAACAAAGACACCAGCGTCATTCCAGTGTCTCCAATAAACTACAGCCTGGAAGCCATTGTTCAGTCTGGTGCTGGTTTCTTTTAGCCATTTTCTGCTAAGTAAGGGGGTGTATTCTAACCAAACAATGTGACTGATGTATCCAACAAGTCAACAACATATATTGTCCGTAATGACCTTCCAACATGACCCATATCATGGTTTAGTCTCTATTGAAAGTTCATTTATGTCACTGTTAAAAAAAATCCAGGGTTGATTCTTGGCAGGAGACGGGATGCTACCTGTGGTCTGTGATCTGCAGGTTAGACACTAAACATTCACTTTGACCTCCTCCCAGAGAGATATAACACTATAACTGCAACTGGGGCAGTAGTTATTGTTTGCAAGACCACAAGAGATCAGTTGTCAGGAAAACACAAACATGGGACGCCTGCTTTTACTGCTTGAATGCAGCCAACACAGAAGCGATGTTAGTACTGGTTAAGAGCAGGTGGCAAGGGGTTTAACAAAGAGATTGAAACAAAACATCATTTGTCACATGGCAGTCGTCCATTGAACTATTTTCTATTTTTTGCACGACGCATATCTCAAGTCAGTTGGAATCAGATAACATATGCTGAGGACTTAAAGCTACAGTAAATGGCTTGTCACTTCAGCAGGCCCAGGGAGCAGCACTCTGTGATTCTTACAGTTAGGCACAAGTGAGTCCTTTTTTGGACCCAAAAAGCCTAAAAAATGAAGGACTTCCTTGAAAGCACAAGCCGGAATGTTAGCATCTCCTAACTAAATTTAGTGTGAGTTTGGTAAAGGAACCGCATTTTATCCCATTCATAATGCGTATTTGATCAAGATCATAATCATTAACTAATCCTAACTAAATATTTTCATTCCCTAAACATAATAATATGTTATGAGGGATGCAAATCTTGATCCCTTGTGCCCAATCGTCCCCACTGACCTCCTTCATATGACATCAGAGCAGTATAAGAATGTCATACTTCTTGGACTGGGGCAATCCTGGCAGCAATTATGTTAACCCTTGTGTTCTGTTAAGGATCATAATGTACTTGAAAGAGGTGGTCGAAATGTTTCCGTCCTCACTGGTTATTCATGACTGAATCATCCACTTTCAGTTGGTCAAGATAGAAATTCTTATGCTTTTATGTATGAAATGGTCTCTTTCTGCTCATACATCACCTACTGGTGTCTGTACCAGGCTGGACAGATTGAAGCCGCTTTGTTTGGTCTCTGTTGCATGCTCACTGGGTGCATTTGTACAAAAAAATCTTACAGTGGATATCAAGACAGAAATAGAGAGCTTTAAACGTGGGCCTGAATGCAGCACTCCAGAGTCTCCAGTATCCCTTGTGCACAAACCATTCTAGTATGAGAACATGCAACCCAGTCTCATTCAGCAGGGGAAGATATAAACGTCAAGTCAACTGGAAAGTATATATACAGTTTTTGGTTCCTTCAGCTCATTGTGGACCTAGCCCTGCTTTGTGATAGCACATAAGCCACCCAGAAGGGAGTGGAGTCTGTACAAATAAGTGGTAGATGCTGTTAATTTCTCTCTATTTCAGATTACTCCATCCACTCCTCTCCAGCTTGTGTTTTCCATGAAGCGAGGAAGCGCATTTTCATAAATAGACCTTGGCCGAGCGCTGTGGAGATGAAATTTTAATGAAGCTCCAAGTCTTGAGTGCAGCGCTGGGGCCTTGGAGAATCAGCCCACTGTTACATTACTA